TTATCAAACCCCTCAAAGACCATATCCTCACTATCACTGAACCTGGGCCGGCTGTGGTGGGTGAAGAACTCGGTAATGTTTTGATGACTGGGCGACCTTGTGCGCACCCTGCCCGTGCCGCTTCCCGCGTAAATGATGAAATTTACCGCGTAATTAAAACATTTCAATCTGGCAAGGCACTGCGTAAATGACCAAACGCGTAAACAAAATCCGCGTAGATCCAGACTACAGTGGGGTATGCTATAACGGATCTAATTGGTTCTAGAACCTCGTTCGTTATAGCATTCGTTCGTTATAGGATTAATCCGTCCCAGGCCCCCAAATACAACCACTTAACACTGAAAATTTTCAGTGGAAAATGTAAAAAATACGGTACTTTATCTTACCTTAGTGTTGTTCAGCATGCAGGACAGGAGGCAAAGGGGGAGGGGGGAGGAGAGAATTATGGAGAAGAGGTGGAATGAGAGGAGTCATCCTTCCTAGCCCTCTTTGGTGACTGTCTTACAGGCACTTTGTCTGTAGGGTCTTTTGCTACTTTTTTAAAGAAGGAATCCAGGGTTGACTGCTTCAACCTTGATTTCTGGACATTCCAAAAGTAGTTCATCACATTGTCATTAAACACACTGATGGCCTTTTCCACAGCACCAACATCAGGATGATAATCCTCTGCAAGCTTAGACAGTTTGCTCCAGCAAAAGAACACATCCTTGAGATCTTTGGCTGGAATGATGCTGCTTTCCTCCTTGTCCTCATCCTCCCCTGACTCCTCAAAAGTTAAGCTCTGCTTCAGTGTCTCATTTTCTTCTTTGTGAAGCTCAAGCAGCTCCTCAGTGGACAGTTCCTTACTGTGCTCTTCCACCAACTCATCAACATCAACATCATCCACTTCCAGGCCCATGGAATTGCCCAGACACACAATTTCATGTACAACAGCCTCTTCCTCTAACTCTTCGAAGCCTTCAAAGTCTCTTTGAAGCACACATGCAGGCCACAATGGCCTCCAAGCAGCACAAAGACACCTCATAGTAACCTCTTTCCAGGCTGACGCAATTAAAAACACAGCGTCTGCTATATTGAAGTGACTCTTCCAAAATTCCTTCAAACTAACATCACTGGAAGAAGTGTATGCAAAACATTTTCTTAACAGTGCCTTTGTGTACAGCTTCTTAAAGTTAAAAATTACCTGTTGATCCATGGGCTGGATGAGAGGTGTTGTGTTGGGTGGCAAGAAGTGCACAGTGATGAAGTTCAACTCCTCTGGCAATTCAACCATCAAATTAGGAGGGTGGGCTGGTGCATTGTCCATCACCAATAAAGCTTTCAGTGGAAGATTATTCTCCCCGAGGTATTCCCGAACACTGGGTCCAAACACCTCAATCACCCACTCAGAGAAAAGACTCCTGGTCACCCAAGCCTTTGGGTTTGACCGCCACATAACACCAAGGCGGTTCTTCCTAATATTTTTGAAAGCTCTGGGGTTTTCTGCATGGTACACATGGAGTGGTTTTATTTTGCAGTCACCAGAAGCATTAGCACAAAGAAAGAGGGTAAGCCTGTCTTTCATTGGCTTATGGCCAGGGACAGAAGTTTCCTCCCTTGTAATGTATGTACAGCGAGGCATTTTTTTCCAAAAAAGTCCAGTTTCATCACAGTTGAATACCTGCTGAGAAACAAAGCCTCCCTCTTTAATCACATTCAAAAAAATGTCATGGTGTTCCTTAGCTGCTTCCTTATCGGCACTAGCAGCATCACCATGTCTCACAACAGTGTAATTTATATCTCCTTCTGAAATCAGTAAACCACCCCTTGGTATCCCTAAACACTGGCACATCACTAACACTTCCACTGGGAGTCTTGGCTTTAAGGTCCTCAAACAATTGTCTGGCCTTCTCACAAATTATAGCTTCACTAATGCTATCACCTGCCATTTCTTTCTCCTTTATCCAAACTAAGAGTAAATTTTCCATCTCCTCAATCACATTACACCTTGCTTTGCTAAGTCTAGAGATTCCCTTAGCCACTTGCACAGTTTTCAACTCCTCTTTATTCTTCAAAATCGTACATATAGTCGATTTAGCCATCCCATACTCATCACTAAGTTTCGCAATGCTTGTTCCATCCTCACGTTTCTTTATGATTTCTTTCTTAGTTTCAAGAGTTATGAGCTTTCTCACTCGCTTTGGACGATTCATTGTTACAATTGTACACTTGTATAACAAAATATTTATACAAATAACTCTATTTCCACATCAAAAGACGAAATTTCAACAATAACAGTATATACTGGCTACACAATGAGACAAAGATATATATGACGCTCTTGTTGTGGGTCGCGGTACAACAATATTCATGCGCCAGGCGAAATAGTCCCGTATTCATATGCTGCATTATTAGGGCCCGGATAGTTATGCACTAAAAAACCATGAAATATGCATGCAAATATGCACTAAAAACAGGGGAAATATGCATTTATATGCACTAAAAATGTCACTTATAAAGCCAAGAATGCAGGTTATACGGAAACAAAATAGTTAATATAAACTAATGTTAATGTTTATTAAGCAATATACGTAATGTATTTAACATATATATGTGAAAGTGCTTCAAAAAATATATATGAACATGTATTTACATTATAGACTGACATATTTTCAGACATTACAGATTGTGGTTGCATTTGATGATGACATGGTGGCGTAAGTTCTCAAAGTTAAAACCCCGCCTGTTGTCTGTCAGCATAGCTTTATATTCTGAGAACACCCTTTCTACATCACACGAGACGATTGGTGCATGTTTCATACATAGGAGGTCTGACATAGTGAGTGGCTGTACCGTCTCGTCAATAATAGCATCACCAGACATTATCTGACTGACTTTTTTCAGCTGGGAACGATCAGGGAACTGGGAACGATCAGGCCCTGACTTACTGGAACATGCAAGAAGTAGTTGTTGCTCCTTTTGTGCACTATTGGACTTAACAGCTTCGAGTCGGATGTGCTTGCTTGTTTTAAGGTGTTGTTGGACTTGAAATTTCTTGCTCGCTGTCACTGGTGCTTCACAATATTTACAAAACAGTACACTTCCATCAGTAGTAAATGCATCAAATTCCTTTACATATGATCTCAGCACTTCATTTTGGTTTCTTTGTACTTTCGGCATTTTCACGAGCAGCAAAAGAGAGTAGCTCCACACAGCAGCACTGCTCCTGACTGACTAACTCACTAGTCCAATGAGTCATGACCAGGTGTGGAAACGACAGATTAAAGCGACGTGACTTCACCTCACTTCACCTAACCACACCTCACCTCACCTCCCAGTACCACGTGTGCTCATTCAGTGGCAACAAAGAGATACTGCCAGATGAATATTTTACCAAAATATGCATTTATATGCAGTTATCTAGGTAATATGCACTTATCATAGAAATCACGCAAAATATGCATTTGCATATGAAATGTGCAAATGCATAACTATCCGGCCCTAGTTATAGCATTCTTAATTTTATAGGTAAAACTGTTCGTTATAAGAATATTCGTAGTAGGATAGGATCTGTTCGTTATAGCATACCCCACTGTATACTGTATCTACCCAAAATTTGGAGTAGAAAAATAACCATAACATAGCTCACAGCTTGGCTTGGAGTGGTAAGGGAAGCTCTAAGGGGATGTGGCTATAGTGACAAGTCTTGTATTACTATCATAAATACAAAACTAATACAAAATACCGAAAAAACAAATAAGAAACATTATCACAGATACAAAGTAATGGCCTACATGATAAGTCAAGAGGCTGAAGGAAACTCTTAACTCCCTGTACCTCCTTTCCCAGCATTCATAAACCATACTAACTTCCTTGTTTATGTTATTTAACAATTGTGCTACTTCAAACAACATTTGTATATAATTTAGATGAAAAAATTAAGATAAAACCAGTAAAGAAAAGCCAAATGAAATTTTAACACAATCGCCATATGCATATACTCCCCGCTTCGCCAAAGCAACGCAAACCAGCAGGGATTCTACCTCAGCCGACTCCCTAGCAACGCTCCTCCCGCTTCCCCACTGAGCCAGCTAACTTGTGTGCAAAGAAATTTATATTCCTTTTATTTGTTGCCTTTATGACAATTATTTCTTTTACTTCTTTTAAACAAAATGTAGGGTGGTGTGTGCATGTAACCGTGTTAATATAAATGAAGAAAGTCACGTACATCAACCCAAAAATAGGAGTTGAAAATCAACCATAACACTTCACAGCTTGGATCAGTAGCCTGATGGTTTTACATGCGATGTTAACAGACGCAAAAGTGAAAAGAAAGTTATCTGTAAATCTTTATTTGTATTTGGTATTTGTAGATTTAAAAATAAATGTTGGAGATATAACATTAACAGATAGTAATGCCTGTAAGAGTTCAGGAATGGTTACGAAGCGACCTCTGAAGAGTTGGGTGTCTGCCATACAGACATTAATCTGCTCGGGTTATCATCAGTACAGTAGTTTTAAAGCCAGCTTTTGTATTTATAATAATTATTTTTTCTATTAATTTGACAAAATAATAACGCACTGTATTTAAGTAAGCATTAACATATTTTTAATTCTGGAGATGGACTAAGTAAAATTTAGCTTACAAAGACAGCAACTGTGGGATTCATTAGCCTAAGGGAGGCAGCAACTTTTCATATAAGATGTAGGCCAAATTTTTAGCCATTTTTCAGACAAAAAAGTGTGTCTTATATGCAGTAAAATACGGTAGCTTAGTTTAGTGGTAGGTAAGCCTAAGGAACTCTCAACTTCTAAAAATATTACATTTTGCTAAAGAAAAAAAGAAAAATTCAACCGAGTTCGAGTGAGTCAACTGGTAGATCTAGCAGGTGACATGAATTACGTAGGTGTCTAAGACCCAGGAAACCAGATAATCCTCAAAATTGATTCAGTCCTGGTCCCAAGGGTCCCAGATTTGAGGGTTTATACAGATACCTGTGCTCACCCAAAGCCATGCTCACCTCACTATCATCTGTTGTAACATGAATCATTCGAGCTCGACGCTTCCGCTCAAACTCCTCCAACAATGCTTTTTTCTCATCCAGCATTTCTGGTTCATCCAACTCCATGTATTCATTGCTGGTATGAATATTTGCTGAATTTACTGGACTATCAGGGGAATCTGGTGGGGATTCTGCACCAGACATTGCAGTGTCTGGTGCATACCACTGGCGCTCACTAACCCCTCCACCACCCACCACCACGGGGGAGTCTTCTCCATCAGACATTGTCACTGGACTGTCACACTGAAATATATTAAAGTGAATTATTCTTCAGAAATAATACACAAAGCTATTTATTATGCAAGTTTATAAGCCAGACCTTATTCTTTTCCACTTTTTCATGACAAACCAATGATGCCATCAAGATAAAATACCTCTGTACTGTACACATGTCAATATTGCTATTAATATCCACTCTGTACTGTATTTGTATTTTTCTGGCTAAATAAACCCCTTCAATATCAATTCAGTACACGTAAAAATAAGCGACAAATGAAAATAGGATATACTGTACCTGCAAACTTGAAATTTCTAAAGTGAAATAAAAAAAGTGAAAATACTGTAATGCAAAAACTACAAATTTCCATCAGAAACACTAATGACTACATTATTATTTTTCTCTGTCTCCCTATACTGTATAATGAATCAATGTAAAGTTCTGTGAATGGTCACTCCGGAATATTAACCTCTTGGATTTATGGCAACACGTACACACCTGAGAACACTAGTATTCAATTCATTGACAGCTAACGCTCCTCCTTATTATTATGCTATTGTTATTATTGTTGCTGTTAATATACAGCGCATCTGCTTGTGTGTATATCTTTGTGTTGGTGTGCATGCATATGTCTGTGTGTTCCATACAAGTATCACAAACCACGCAATTATCACATAAACAAAGGCTTATAGCATACATTGTCAGGTTAAGGACAGTAAGTGGTCAGTTTACAATGTTGTTAATTTTCAGCCCCCGTTCATTATTTACCGAGTGCTGGTGACGATGGCTTCTGTGCCTTACTTGTTCAGTGCATAGACAAGAAGTCTGACCTAGACAGAAGGCATTGTCCTGTGACATGTATAGCAGATGGTAACATAGGACTTGTGGCATAGGAATGAGGATTTCAAGTGGATTTGCCTTGATTGCGCCATTACGTACTACAAACGTTTAAGTTATCGAGTTAACAGCAACTAAAGACTTTGATATTGACAAGACAGTAGATGAGGAAAGACAGCGCCGACTTCCCAAGTTGTGGGGTGAATATAAAGTGAAACGGTAAAAGTGGAGCAGAAGGTTAGCACCCAAAGGCATCTTGTTCATATTTTCCACAGCTGTTCTTTGAAAATTAACTAATAAAAATTATATGAATTTTTTGTTTTATTATGTTTTCCTCTATCTATGATCATATATCATCTGTAGTTGGCAGGGCACAAAAAATAAGGGAAATTACAGCATAAAAACACAGCTAAAAGTTTATCACAGCACTAATTTCATGTCTATGAGCTGTGCATGTGAAGAAATTAATTCCCAGGCATAACTGTAAATATTCCCCCGATGAATATCTCGTGATGATGCTTGTTTACATATGCAGTTAAACTAATAAATTTTGAATGCGGTCTTGCTTAAATTGTAAATAAACAACAGACCCTAACGTCGGGATTTTATTATTGGCTTGTCTTTTTTTCATGGTACTGTATAAGCTTCAGCTGCCAGATTCGTGATTCGATCAGGTGAACAAATCTTCTTTCTTTCTTTTTGGCACAATAGGTTCTTAAATCTATTCTTTGTATAAATGAGCGGGTCATTTGTAAATAAACAAATGACATGGTGTTACTCGGCAGATTTTTCGGAGGTGTATTTAGGGTAAACAATTACTTTCATCAAAGCATGTAGAGACATCATTTTAGTGCCATATGATCAGTTTGTCACAGTGTTTTACCCTGCAATTTCCCACATCCTTCATTCCTTGCCTGTTTATAATTAAAATTGGCTTAAAAATGCACCATTTTCACCAATTTTATTAGGGGATACTGTATTACTTTGTGAAAAAGTATAAAAATGGCTAAAACCTTGTGCTAACCTAACCTATACAGTGACCCCTCGTTTAACGAACGCCTCGGTTAATGAAATTTCGGTTAACGAACTGCCTTCCATAAGGATCTTCAATTCGGTTAACAAACAAAAATTCGGTTAACGAATTTCTTACGAACCGACCTCAACATGTTTTCGCTTGCACTGGCCGGGCAACCAGCTTTAGTATCAGTCCGCCAATACATTAATCGGTTCTAGGGCTTAAATTCCTAACTATTTTAGCAAATATCAAGAAGTTTATACTATTCAATAATTTTAAAAGTTTAATATTCAATTTTTTAGTCATTTTAACAATTATTGAACATAATTGAAGGTAAAGTGACTAGTTTAAAGCGCAGCATCCAGCCTCTTAACACAGCAAACAGGCGTTAGTCTCTCTGTTTTCACTGGAGGTAACATCTTGCTTGAGACTCTCTTCAACTAAATGCTTTTTTCTGTGTTTCCAAGCAAATTATTGGTCATTTTGAAATATATTTTACACATTGACAATATATAATGCAGTACAGTGTTGATTTAAAGAAAATAATCTTGAAATACACCAAGAGAACTAAAATTTTATGGGTGAAATGGTGCCATGGGGTGACTTCTCTTCCACCCCAATGCCTTCTCTTCTTCCTTCTCCTCCACCCCCATTGTAATTCCCATCATCATCATCATCATCCAGGAGCCTTCTACATACACACCTCAAAGTAAGTGAACTTTTCTACCATTTTTGTTGAATTTAGGAAATTTTCGGTGAGCTGGAACCAATTACCCAAAAACCCATTGAAACAATGGTTTCGGTTAACGAACTTTTCGGTTAACGAACGACCTTCTGGAACGGATTGAGTTCGTTAACCGAGGGGTCACTGTACTACCTTAACTTGCCTCTACCCGGTAAGCATTTACACAAGAAAAGTAATAAAACTGAAAGCAATCAACTACAAAACTGAGTCTAAAAACACACCCCCCTCATAATTTTCAAACTGCTGACAGACACATCTCCTATATTAGCCAAGATACTTACTATAATAAGAACATCTGTGGAAAATTGAATGAAATAAAACTACTCCTGGTTGATATCAGTTTCCTCATAAATTACTACCATTCTTCTAATGCTAGCTGCATTCTCCACCTTTACCAGAAAAACAAAACACAACAGCACAGTTTTCAAGAATCTGCAGAATTTTAAATACAATTTTAAGCTGTACCCCTTTATACCGATGAATATATATATATTTTAACATATTCCAAGTCATTCTACGGTATTTATATTGATGATTGAATATTCTAAGTGACTCCCTGTGTATTATAAACTAATTCATGGAGGCGACTGCACTTTATGTATACAGTATTTGGGTAAAGGTGACCAAGCAAATGGGTAAGAGTTGTCCAGTACCCCCGAATCTTTACCCACCTGTCTCCTAGATTATCAGTACTGTACATTATGCACCTGCAGTGTCTTATGCCCACTGGTTGTATGGCTACACTGTCTTATGTACATTGTATACCTGCACTGTGTACGCTAAACCTGTGTGGACTTGTATAAACTTATCAGTGGATATTTTGCCGTGACCATAAGTGCACTCAGATTGGCTAATCGTTCAAGACCGGCAAACAAAACGGAAAATATCTACTGCATTTATTTTTATATTGTTGTTTAGATAATAATAGAAAAATAGGGTTAATATTTGTCCATTGGCTGTCTGCAGGTTTCCAATTTTCAATATTGCAGACACAATTTCTAGAAAAAACGAAGCATATGACTTCATATCATTTATTGTGCAAATCAATATAAATGGAGTACCCCACAATTTCCTACACGTACATTTCTGTTCCCGCCATGTTTACCCGAGGCTATACTCCTCACTTTATTTATTTTTTTGGTGTTTAACTCAGATCTGACCTCCATTTTTTTGCAAATTTGCATTTTTTGCTAAAAATTATTAAATTTTAACAGAAACACCAAAAAAAAACCTATGCTCGTACCAAAACCAGATGACGGTATAGATTAGTTTTATGCACCAACGCTATTTTTAATTAAAAACATTTTTCTTAGGTATTTTTATGTGCTTTCTTAAAAAATGACCATCGTTTCCTTGGGAAACTAGTAGTTTTGAGGAAAATTACAGTTTTGAAATTCCCTCCAAAACTACTAGTTTTCCATGGAGGCGAAGGTCAAATTTGGCAGGAAGCATATAAAAACGCAAGAAAAATGTGTTTGCCTAACCTAACCTTAACCCTAGATAGGTAATGTGGGGTCCAAAGATCCCCATGCTGAACTTACATGAACATACTGTAAGTACAAAAGGGAGAAAAAAAAAATATATTTTTCAACAATAGTAATTTTCCTGGAGGTTTGGAGGTTAGTTGAGGACGTATATAAGGAAAGATTGTAAATAGATAAGAGATACTGGCTAGTGCATACAACGAATCATAACCCAAGATAACAGCCAATGGACGAATATTTACCGAAATAGAAACGACAAAGCACAGGTTTGGAAGGTAGGTAAGTGAGGTTTGGAAGGTAGGTAAGTGAGGTTTGGAAGGTAACGTAAGTGAGGTTTGGAAGGTAGGTAAGTGAGGTTTGGAAGGTAACGTAAGTGAGGTTTGGAAGGTAGGAAAGTGAGGTTTGGAAGGTAACGTAAGTGAGGTTTAGAAAGGAAGGTAAGGGAGGTTTGGAAGGTAACGTAAGGGAGGTTTGGAAGGTAACGTAAGGGAGGTTTGGAAGGTAACGTAAGTGAGGTTTGGAAGGTAGGTCAGGTCAGGTTAGGTCAGGTTCTGTGCATTGTCATTTTGATTCGATTTGCCAATCAGAGCGCACTCACAGTAAGATCGCGTTAGTAGGAACTTATCCGGTCATGGAAAAATATTCACTGCGTAAACTTTCTGTATATTTACCGTATCTATTCTCGGTATTTTGATGTCTATTTTCCCTAATATCTCAGAGAAACTTCTACAAAACAAATCTTATACATTGTCTTATGTCTAACAAACACTCTTTAAGTGCAGAATGATGCAAATTCTTCTATTTAAAACACATTATATTAAACACTTCTTACCTCGTACAGATGAGAACGTTTGTTGTCTAACCAGCCGCTGTTTGGTCGCTTGTGTTTATAACCGGGTTGTGAAAAATGTATCTCACCTGATAATTTTGTTTAATATGTTAAGAACGATCAAATATTAAACAAAAACAAAAAAATATATTACCATGAATTAAAACAGCCTTAATAAAATATTTTAAAATAATTGTAAGATTAAATTAACCACAAATATTACGGCTATAGAGGATGGGTGAATAACGAGCGTAATTTATGTTTGAGTAGATACGAGACACAAATTTAAAAGTTGACATTAAATCCCTAATCTTTTATCTAATTCTTATACTTCATTAATTCGCAAAAAAAAAAATATTCACAAGATACCGAAATCTGGTCAGTTTTTGCAATGCGTAACCAAATATAACATTGATCAAAATACACTAATAACTGTACTTCAGGGTAGTCGGGGTCGGTTACGTCTCTATTAAGGCAGCGGTACTTTTTTACTTTTACCCTCTTCACCACTGATCGAGCCGATCGGTCACGTATCTCTTACGCACTGTTGGCAAGTACTGGGCATGCAGTGCAGTGCATGCCATGCACTGGCTCCTGAATGTATCTGAACCTGCTCCAGTGCTTGTCTAGTCTGGTCTTGAAAGAGCTCACACTGGGCGTCGTCACAACGCTGTCTGGCAGATTGTTCCAAGAGCTCGTAACTCTCACTCCGAAAAAGTTACCCATCGTGAGGAGGCTGGGACAAAAGCAGGGGTAAAAGCCTCGCCCCCTCAGGATCACACTAGTGAGTGATGAGAAGAAATGGGAGGTTATTCGGCAGGCAAAAAAACTTAGCAAGGCCCGAGGCATTTCGGAATGTATTCATTCACCCAGATCGCACGGTAATGCAGAGGAAGCTGCACAAGAAGCTCCAGCAGGGCTTGAAGCAGGAGTCAAGGAGGGACGGATGTACACGAGTGATATTCAGAAGGGGGGAGGAGTAGAGGAAGCAAGTGTGGCGATACAGAGCCAAGGGGCAGCAGCGCACCCTCCACTCGCTCTACCCCCTCAGGTCAATATAGACTTTTTCGGAGTAGGGGTTGTAAACTCTTGGAACAATCTACCAGTGTGTGTTGTGACGGCACCGAGTGTAAGCTCTTTCAAGACAACGCTTGACCAATAATGGAGCGGGTTCAGGTTCATTCAGGAGCCGGTACATGCCATTGCCCAGTATTTGCCAACAGTGCGTAACAGACGTGACCGATCGCTCGGGCGGCTATTGAGCCGATCTTTTGGTGAAGAAGATAAATGAAAAGGAAAAGTAATCAGAGACGTGACCTATCGCCCAAGCGGCTAACGAGCCGATCAGTGGCGAAGAGGATAAAAGTAAAAGTATGAACCTCTGTCCTGCGTGGCAGTGAGAAGTGATACCACCCTCAGTGTCCAGACCTGGCTGAATTACTCAGAATAGGAAACTGTACTCCAAGCTTTGTCAATAAATTTGTTAAACTAAAAGCCGTGTAAACAATGACCTTTATAACTGTATGTGTTCTGGGTATCAAGTTCTATCTACAGGAGCGAACACAAACACCTGTAGAGTTTTCGTAGGTTCTATTTCCTGGATAAACAGAGATACACAAGCGAGGTGGCGCTCCTTACTCTGTCTGGGGGGTCAATTAGCCTTTAGGCGACATGTGGCAAGTGATATATTAACAGCTCCCATATGTCGCCAGGCACATTAATTAAGCGTGTGGGACATGGTAAATACATTGCCACACGCTGCTAGCTAGGCTGAATAAATAGTGTATATAAATGGAGCACATACATAATATACATACATAATATACATACAGCATACATAATATACATACACCTCCCTCCCCCCCCTATACGCTCATAGCAAAGTCTTGAGCGGACCTTTTCTTTTGGATCCGTTCTGAGCGTCGAGGGACTTGATCACTGGGGAGGGTATGGGACTCAACACTGGTGGCGGGGTCAGCAGAAGGCGTTGTTACGGGGCGGAGAAAACGGCGGTTCCTCCACCACACACGACCACTGGGTAACCGCACCTGGTAGTCCCGTGACCTACCGAGACCCATGACTACGCCCACTTTGTCCCAACGTAGGGTGGTCGGGTCCTGAACACGGACTTGGGTGCCGACACTCAACTTGGGAAGAGGACGGGCGTGGTCGTTGTAGTGGGCGACGACGTCTTGAACACGTTCGGCGGCTCGGCGATCACAATCCTCTGTCTTGGCCTGCCACTCCTTGGAGAAGGATTGAGGGTGAGCAGGGACACAAGAACGAATGGGGGCGTCCATACAAGACCTGGGCAGGGGAGCGTCCGGTGTAGTTAGGTGTGTTGCGGAGTTCAAGAAGACCCCGGTCGAAGGCCTCGCAGTCAATATTTCCAGAAGAGGCCACCTTAAGGATGAGATGCTTCAGGGATTTGACAACAGCCTCAGCGTGGCCGTTGGACTGCGGGTAATGGGGCGATGACAACACATGCCGGACTCCCCATCGGTCGAGGAACACAGCAAAGTCCCGGCTTGTGAACTGGGGCCCTCCGTCGGTTCTCAGACGCACAGGAACGCCCACGTCACAGAAGTAGTGGCGGAACTTGCTGATGGTGGCGGCAGACGTCGTGTCATTACCGCACTTGATGACAACCGGCCAACCAGAGAGACGGTCGACAATAACAAGGAAAGACTTTCCTGACACAGAAAAAGTCGGCCGACACAGACTCAAAGGGGCGGGTGGGGTTGTCGTCACTCATGAAGGGTTCCTGCTGCTGGCTGGGTTGTAATACTTGGCAGGGCTCACACGCATGGACAACATTGGAGATGTCGGAGTCGATGCCGGGCCAGAACACAGTCTGTCGTGCACGTCGTTTGGTGGCCTCAGCTCCACGGTGACTGCTGCCTCACGTGGGGACGTGAGGCAGCAGGGACAACTACACGTGTTCCGTACAGAACAAGGTCTCCGTCGCAGTAGAGTTCATCGTGGAGTTTCCAATACGGGAGCAGGGTGTTGTGAAGGTCGTAGCAATTGCTAGGGAATCCATTCCTCACACACTCGACGAGTCGGACGTGGGAAGGGTTATCTCGGGCCGCTGTTCGAAGGTCCTCCATTGCCTTGTCGTCATCTGGTGACAGGTCCGAACGAAGGGCTTGGACGGCGTGTAGGGTGACCACAGTCCTGACGGAAAGAGCTAGGTCAGCGTCGAGCACCTGGTCTTCTGGAGTAGGGCGGCTGACAGGAGAGCGGGATAAGGCATCAGGGATGCAGAGCTCCTTACCAGCACGCCACAATGCTGTGAAGATGTACGCCGAGAGATTCTCTTTCAGACGCTGGAGGCGAGGGTTCTCAACGGCGTCCAGCGTGTAGTGGTTGAGGATCGGAACAAGCGGGCGATAGTCGGTCACTAGGTGAAAGTGTTGCAGGCCTATGAGGTAAAACCTGCACTTGGACATCGCCCAAAACACAGCCAACAGCTCCAACTCAATAGTGGCATAGCACGTCTCGGTGTCAGAGACGAAACGCGAGCCACACTGGACGAGCCGGAACTGCCCTCCACCATGATCCTGCAATAGGGCGTATCCCACGCCGTACAAGCGTGAGGCATCTGTCTGCAGAACCGTCGGCAAGGCTGGGTCAAACGTGGCGAGGACAGGTGGACTAGACAGGGCCTGTTTCACTTGCTGGAAGGCCTTGTCGTGGTCGGGGGTCCACAGGAATGTCCTCTTGGGGCTCATCAGGGGGCGAAGTGGTTGGGCAGCTGCGGAGATGTCCAGCGAAAACTCTGCTAACTGGTTGACGAGGCCGATGAAGGACCTCAAGTCGGTGAGGTTAGCAGGGGTGGGAAAATCCGTGATGGCGCGGACCTTCTCCGGGTCAGCTGCAATACCATTCCCTAAGAGGGTGTACCCACAAAAGTCGACTGAATAGCTGGCCAGAACAAACTTATCGGCATTTAGGGTGATGCCGTGCTTCCGGCACCTGTTGAGTACCTCGTAGATACGGCAGAGGTGGTCCATGTAATCCTCATCGTACACGAGAATGTCGTCGACCACTTTCACACAGTTTGCCAGATCTTGTAGAGCCATATCACCTCGAAGACAGAAAGCGTCTCCTGTAGCGGCAAATCCCATGGGGCCACGGCAATAACTGTAACGTCCATGCGGGGTGATGACAGTTGAAAGTTGTAAGTGGTCGGTCTTCTTCGGCAAGCTCGATCTGCCAATATCCACACAGGGCGTCCATCGTCGTGAAAAAGCGCAACTTCGGGTGCACACTGCGTATAGCTGCAAAGGGCGTGGGAGAAGGGTGCGCAGGACGAGACACCTGGCTGTTGAGCTTGGAGAGGTCAGTGGTGATCCGAACACCACCTTTGGGTTTTGCGACGACTACCATAGGGTGACACCATGGAGACGGGTCATCGCCGGTTGGTGCAATAATTTCTTGGGCGACCATGGAGTCCAGCTCGTTTTTGACCGCCTCGCAGAAGGCCAGGGGGACCAGTCGAGGGGTGTAGACAGCGAAGGGCTTTGCGTCGTCCCTCAGGTGGATCCTCATCGGGGGGCCTACCATCTTCTTGAGAGGCTTGGATTCCAGAGCGGACTTGGTCACCAGAACGTCGCTGAATTCCTTCAGGAAGTACTTCCGAGCATCCGAAGGAGAGGTGTCACTGGCAAGAGGCAGGGGTAGGGCGACAGCAGGGTAGTTGCTGCTCCCTTCTTGCACCCTGTTGGCGTGTTTTACCTTGAGAATAGGTTTGGGGAAGCCCTGGGAGATGATGGCCAACTCTTGACAATGTCTGTAGGACAGCAAAGGAGTCGGGACACCGTTATGCACATCAATCCAGGCTTGACACGACCTGTTGCCAAAGGTGACCTGTGCTTGGAGTGAACCTAGGGCTGGGGCCATCTGTAAACCATCTGCCGTGAAGCGGAGATCCTTGGGGGGCGGTCCTAGATCACTTGGAGAGAGCCCCAAGCATTGCAAATGCTGGGGACCGATGACTGTAGCATAAGCGCCGGTGTCGGGCAACATCTGAAGACGGGATGACACACTGCCGTAGGTCACGATGACGCTGATGTGCTGGGGAACTTTGATCCTGGAA